CCACCGTCGTAAGAAAAGTCCGCGTTGCGTTTTCTCTCGACCCAACTGCTCTCTCTCTACCTTTCCTGGAAAATTCCCGTGCCCTTCAAAGACCCATTTTCACAAGCCTTCTTCTTTAATCAACCTCGCAAATCCCTGGATCTACGCTTCCGTGTTTTTTTTTTGACTTGTTTCGATTGATTGGTTTTCCCGGTGAGGAGAATTGCGATTTCTCGTTCTGGAATTTTCCGATTTAGGGTTTTGTTTCCCCCTTTCTCGTTCTTCTTCTTCTTTATCGGGTTAGGGTTTTGTGTTCGTGATTATGGGTGATGAAGGTTCAGTGTTTGGCCTTGGCGATGGGTTTCCGCCTGATGATTGTGATGGTGTTTTTGAGTTTGAAGACGATGACGAGGATCTCACTATCGACATCGAGACGATCTATCGGATTCTAGATGAGAAGCCTGATTCTGCTGAGGTAGTTCTTTTCGCTTTTTGAATTTTCATGTGGGAGCTTGAGGATTTCGATTACACGGCTCTCTTATCTACAATTCCCTCAGACGGACATCGTTTTGATTAGCTCTGCTTTGTAAATATGTTCAGAGACTTAGAAATTGAAGATATGTGTTCTTTCATTTGATTTGAATGTGCCCAATGTTGCTTAAGATATTTGAATTGCATACTGTTTAATGTATATGTGAATCACAATACTGTTTGTTACACTATGAACTTATTTTGTGGACTACTTGAAACTAAACTTGTGAGTGACTACTTCTAGGGTAGCCAAGAAAATTCATCTCCAGTTGGCTCATCGGCTGATGAGCTCAAGAATGCACAGTTGCAAAATGGTGAGTATATGTAAAGAGTACTTTCTTTCGTTGCAACATAGACACATAATAACACCACTTGGATCTCTTTGGTTATGTATGTTTCTTGATTAGGATCTCAGATGGTTGATTGGTGTCCTTCTCGGGATTCATATAGCTTAAGAGCCTCGCACCTTGAGAATGGGGTGCCTGGTTCATTCGATGACCATGTGAAAATGGAGCCCGTGCTGAATCCTTCACCTGCTCGTACTTGCTCTGCAAGTCTTAAAGATTGGTTTTCGTTAAGCCAGGGTGAGCAGGCTGTGGAAAAATGTGGAGTATCTCAATCTGAGATGACTAGCTGTAGTATATCATCTAGTTCCGTTGACAGATACAATACTTCTTTCTCTGATCATGGTGGCGATATGATCTTCAATCCTCTGAATTTTGACTTTGACACTGTATCCAACCAGGATGACAAGATAATCGATTCCAAATGTATGCACCTTATCTACTAAAATTTCAGGTTACTTTTTGTAAGTTTCCACAGTACTTACCTATTTGTTGTTAAACGCTGTATTCCTCATTGATGTTACATTATGTGGCAGCTACATCGTGCAGCCCCACAATGGCAACTCCATATTTTGACGAAGTTACTGAATATGGAGCGGGGTTGGGAACCATTCATAATTCCTCTGTCATGTCTGGTTTTGGTCATAATTCCAATTCTCCCAGTGACGGTGCAGATAACTGTGTCTCTTCTGCACAAAAATGCTACAATACAAGTGGTGCGTCCTTATCAGAGCATACCTCCAGTTTTGTCCAAAATTTCCCGTTCCAGTTCTTTCCCAGTAAAGAAGAAGCTGCAAATGATGTTGAGAGTGGGGTGATGAGTGAGTGTCGGTCGGATGGCGTCAGCAGGATGATGTTCGATAGACATGGAAGATTAGATAATGGATCTATACGAAGGAAACATGCTGTTGATTTCTCTAGTGCAAGAGGGATCAGTTTTAAGTGTGAAACTAACCCTTCAGATTCTCCTGTCTGTGTCAAACCATACAGTAGTTTTGACAGTCATTTAGCTGATAATGACCTTGACCGGCCTGACAATTTTTCAAGCAGTTTTCAGGATAAGAAAGCTGTCGGTGTGAAGGTTAAGCCAGAGGCTGAGTCAGAGAAAGTGGTTTACAGTTCAGTTCCTGAGGTAGATAGTGTTAGGGATGCTGTTTATGCATCTGGAGAAACCAATCATTGGTGGTCTGGTGCATCTAGCTGTGCAGTCTCCTATCAAACAGATGTTGAAAAGGAATATTCATTTATTGCACCCCAAACTGCTTTCCCTAGCCAAGACAGTGTCAACAGAAGCAGTGAGTATGTAGACTTTCCGATACAACAAGGAGACCATGAATATATTCAACCAAGGAGCATTGATTCTAATTTTTCAAACGCCAGTTTTGAATCAATTCAAAGCCATTCCTCAGAATGTATTTCCGATAGTGATGATGATTCTGACATCTGCATTATAGAAACTAATGGTCAAGCGACTGCAATCCCACTTCGACCTCTAGCTATGAAACAGCCTGTGGTTTCTTCAGAATATATTACAGGTGGTCATACTTTTAATCAATCTGGAGGCCCGAGGCTTCAGTCAAACAAAGAAAATATTATCTTTCAAGCTGCATTGCAGGTTAGTGGCAGTTAATTCATTTTACCCGATTGCCATTGTATAGCATGTTGATTCTGTTGATTCTATTGTACTCTCTCAGGCACCAACAGTGCAGTACATTAGTTTTAGCTGATATGTGGATACATATTTATATGTATCCAAAACCTGCTTTTGCAACTCTGCATAATTAAGTTGAGAATGTTGTATGGCTATAATGGTATTAAAAGGTTCCTGATGGTCTCCTGTTATTGGATGTGTCTGAGTGTTATAATGCGAGGCTGCAATTAATGACAGTTCCATATTGACCATTATGCTTGGTTTTAATTCAAACTCATTATGTCTAATTACATTATCTGACTTGACAGGATCTCTCTCAGTCTAATGCTGAAGCAAGTCTTCCTGATGGTGTCTTGACAGTCCCGCTTATGAGACATCAGGTATGCATGTGATTATCAAAATTAAAACATTTCTGTATATGTCCAAAACCCAAGCTGTATGTACTTAAATCATTTCTGTAGATTTCCAAAACCCAAGCTGTATGTACTTTATGGATGTATTGTATGCTTAATTAAAGATGATTTGGTCCTAAAATTAGAAACGGAATTCTATTCAGTTGATATGATTTTCCAACTTGACGGCTGTATGTTTTGGTTGTTATTTTATCGACTTGACTGTATCTGACTCATGGACAGCGAATTGCATTGTCGTGGATGGCCCAAAAGGAGACAAGCGGCTTCCCCTGTTCGGGAGGAATTCTTGCTGATGATCAGGTTATTATCTTCTGTTGTAATCTTTCTCAGCTTAATTTTTCTCAATTTTTTTTATGTTTTTCTAAATTTCCTTGTTACAATTATCTTCTGCAGGGACTTGGGAAGACAATTTCCACTATAGCTCTTATACTGAAGGAACGGTCTACACCTACCCAAGCACGTGAAGAAAGTGTTAAGAAAGAATTTTTTGACCTAGAAAGTGAGAGTGGAGAATGTGCACCTTTAAATCCCAGTGGAAGAAGTGAACAATTTGATAACTCTCAGTTGCTTTTCAATGAAAACAACATTGATGGAGATTGTGTGAGTAAGGTGAGGGGAAGGCCAGCTGCTGGAACTCTTGTTGTCTGTCCCACTAGTGTTATGCGACAGTGGGCAGATGAATTACATAAGAAGGTGGCTAGTGAAACGAATCTCTCTGTTCTGGTATACCATGGATCCAGCAGAACAAAGGATCCTCGTGAGTTGGCTAAATATGATGTTGTTGTTACAACATATTCTATCGTAAGTATGGAAGTGCCGAAGCAGCCTCTTGTTGATGATGAGGACGAAGAGAAGGGTGGTGTGCATGATGGTGGAGTTGCAGCTGCTGGCTTTTGCTCAAACAAGAAAAGGAAATATCCTCTCGATTCTCAGAAGAAGGGCTCAAAAAAGAAGAAACATGTTGATCGTGCGTCTGTTGAGTCTCTATCTGGCCCTCTTGCGAAAGTTTCATGGTTTAGAGTTGTTCTAGATGAGGCACAGAGCATTAAGAATTACAAAACCCAAGTTGCAAGAGCATGCTGGGGCCTTCGTGCTAAACGGAGGTGGTGTTTGTCTGGCACTCCAATCCAGAATTCAATCGATGACCTCTACAGCTACTTTCGATTCCTCAAATACGATCCTTATTCTTCCTACGTATTGTTCTGTGGCGCAATTAAGAACCCTATAACTAGGAACCCGGTGAAAGGATATCAGAAGCTGCAGGCTATTCTTAAAACAGTGATGCTTCGCCGAACTAAAGGTCAGTCTACTGATATTGAAGCTAAATTGGTTTTTGTATTCATCTAAGGTTTTTATGGTTTTTAACTTGTTCACACATTAGGTTCCTTTCTTGACGGGAAGCCCATAATCTCTATACCTCCTAAGTCCATTGAGTTGAGAAAAGTGGATTTCACTGAGGAGGAACGTGATTTCTACTCCAACTTAGAGCTCGCATCTCGTGATCAATTTAGGGTATGGCTGTTGACTCGATATACCCTTTAAGTGGACTACATTTTTGTTTGATTATAACCTTTCGCAATAAACCATGAATGAATTTGTGGATGCATATTGATGTTAAATGTTTTTGTATTATTTTTATCAGGAGTATGCAGAAGCTGGAACAGTGAAGCAAAATTATGTAAATATTTTGTTGATGCTCTTGCGCCTTCGACAAGCTTGTGATCATCCTCTTCTCGTTAATGGTGAATACAATTTTACCTGGGGATCCTCGCTCGAATTAGCTAAGAAGCAGAATTTCTCAGAAGCTTCATTGGCAATTTGTGGTATCTGCAATGTAAGATTCTTTTGCTTCGTTCGTACAACCTGTCTTTTGTATCTCCTGATGAATGAAGTCCTGAAACACTAAAAAAAATCAAAATTTGGAGTTTAGCGCCAGTGAATGTCAAAATAATTGTAATGCAGATCCTTGATATTTAAAGTGTCAGTGTTTTTTTTAGCATTCATATAGTTTTCTTGACTAATAGTTCTGAATCTATTTCCCTTCTTTAACTGCAGGATGCACCTGATGATGCTGTTGTATCAGTCTGTGGTCACGTTTTCTGTAAGCAGTGTTTTTATGAACGCCTTACAGGCGATAACAATCAGTGCCCCCTTGCAAACTGCAATGTCAGACTCAGCATCTCATCATCTTCTTCTTCCAATATGAGATTGGACGATGCTATGGATGATCGTGCCACATCAGATCTTGTTGAGACGGTTGTCCCTTGTTCTGAAGATCTTCCATATGAGTCGTCGAAAATCAAGGCTGCTCTAGAGATCTTACAATCAATTGCCAGACCACAGGATTTTGCAGATATGAATCAGATCTCTCAAAACAAATTGGACTCCAGTCTATCTGTAACTCCAGTTAAGGATGACGGTAGTAGCAGTGACAGTCCAATCAAGGGAGTTGGGGAAAAAGCTATTGTTTTTTCCCAATGGACAAAGATGCTGGACTTACTTGAAGCTTGCCTTATACGTTCGCATATTCAGTATAGAAGGCTCGATGGAACAATGTCAGTTGCTGCTCGAGATAAAGCAGTGCAGGATTTCAACACTCTCCCCGAGGTACATAGCCATTAATGAAATCTTGAAGACTTGGGCTGGCTTGCAGTTGATGATACGCCAAGGCTTGATGATATATTTATTGAATTTTTTTGATCAACTTTTTAGGTTTCTGTAATGATAATGTCTCTCAAGGCTGCTAGTCTCGGACTAAACATGGTAGCAGCTTGTCATGTTCTGATGCTGGACTTATGGTGGAACCCGACAACCGAAGATCAGGCTATCGATAGAGCACATCGCATAGGACAGACGCGGCCAGTAACAGTGGTTCGCTTTACAGTAAAAGACACAGTTGAAGATCGGATATTGGCCCTTCAGGTATGTGAATGGATTGATTTATTTCTCTTTCATTTCTCTATAAGCGTCAAGTCATTCTCTGCATTATGATATATGAATACGTTTTGGCGATGCAGCAAAAAAAGAGAATGATGGTAGCCTCTGCATTTGGAGAAGATGAAAAGGGAAGCAGACAGTCTCACCTCACTGTTGAGGACTTGAGCTACCTGTTTATGGCGGATTAATGAGAGCAAGGTTCGAGCTCTTTTTTTGACCAATGCGCGTGGGTACATATGGTAGGATTATCTTTAGTTTTTGTGCAGGCTTTGGAGGAAGAAAGAAACTCTTGGTTCAACTAACTACAGGTTTTTGTGCAAAAGAAAGATTAGAAAATACTTTTGGGGTTTGGGGTTATTAAAAATAGAAAAGCTGATCCGATTGATTATTAGTATTCCATTTAGAAGACTTTTAGTGTATTGCAATGAATGGAAGAAAGACCATAGGGACCTTATTCTCTTCTTATTGTAACATGACAACAATTTGATTGGTCCATCGAATTATAAGTTCACTCATTCAAGATCTTCTATTTCCTCGTACATTGTTTAAACTGATCATATTGTAACTGCTAATCACAATTTACTAGCGCATTTACTACTTGGTGACTTTTTTTGTGTGTGTGCGTGTTTGCTCAATTTTTACTTTTTCAGAAAATATATTCCCTTTTGAGTTTATTTATTACGTTGCAGAAAAATATTGTACTAAAAATAACGAAATTTAAAGAGAAGTATCCAGATCATCCGGTACTCTCATGCTTCCACAATCTATCTGTTCGGCAAATTGGTTCATACTACCACTAAAACTTTACTTGCACGTTGCCGCTTGTTACATAAACTCCTTTGAGAGTAAGAAGTGGAAACATCCCAATCAGTCCAACACAAAAATGTTGGCTAGGGTTTGGAGATCCGAATCTTCTGCTAGATTGATCACTACGAGATTGATTTATCGCAGTGTTGCCACTACAGGTACGGTTTCAAATTCGCGACCTTCTCTTTAGACAAATTTAAATCGACAATTAGGCCCCATCGTATCGAAAGCTCAGAATCAGATGGTTGGAAAAAATCTACTTTATCAAGGAGATGTTTGGTTTGATGGACTGCTTAAAAGAGAGGAATTGCAATTGAGAAGTGGGTCTCATTATATCAAAAGCTTAAATGATGCCATTAGTTTGTTTGATGAAATGGTTCGATCTCGTCCTTTCCATTCGACAGTCGATTTCAATAAACTAATGGGTGTCATCCTGAGAATGAAACGTCCCGATGTTGTGATTTCACTGTATCAGAAGATGGAAATGCAACAGATTCCTTTTGATAGCTACAGTATGAATATTCTGATAAATTGTTTCTCCTGTTTCTCTCAATCCTCTTCTGCTTTCTCTACATTGGCTAAGATGACAAAACTATCGTCACGTTTAACAAACTGATCAACGGTCTTTGCCTAGAGGATCGAATTCTTGAAGCACTAGCTCTGCTTGATCGGATGGTAAGAAATGGTCATGAACCTAATGTTGTTACCTATGGAACGATTGTAAATGGCATGTGTAAGATGGGAGACACTGTCTCGGCCTTGGATCTGCTTAGGAAGATGAAGGATATCCACATTAAACCCAATGATGTAATCTATAGTGCCATCATTGATCGTCTTTGCAAAGACGGGGATTATAACGATGCTCGAAATCTTTTCCGTGAGATGCGTGATAAAGGAATTATGCCAAACGAGTTGACCTACAACTGTATGATTGATGCATTTGTCAAAGAAGGGAAGTTCTATGAGGCTGAAGAATTTTACAATAAGATGATGCCCCGTCGCTTCCGTGAACCTGGAGGCTTCAGGTTTCCGCCAAACAGCGAAAATATGATCTTTAAAGCTGCATTGCAGGTTAGTGACTGTTAGCCTTTAAAGGTTCCGTTGTATAGCTTGCTGATTCTATTCTGCTCTCTCAGAGGCACCAACAGTCTATCATATTAGTTTTTGCTGAAAAGTGGATACATATTTATTTGTATCGAGTAATCTGTTTCCGTAACTCTGCATGATTAAGTTGAGAATGTTGTATGAGGTGATAATGGGACTAAAAGGTTCATGATGGTCTCCTGTCTCAGGGATATAATGTGAGACTGCAATTACTGACAGTTCTATATCAACCTTTATCCGTTGTTTTAATTACATTGTTTGACTTGACAGGATCTCTCTCAGCCTAATGATGAAGCAAGTCTTCCTGATGATGTCTTGACAGTCCCGCTTATGAGACATCAGGTATGTAGATGTTCAAATAAATGCGCCGTGTACTGAGGATTTGGCCCTGAAATGAGATGGAATTTTGTCCAGTTGATATGATTTTCCACCTTGATGGTTCTTTGTTTTGGTTAATGCTAATAGATACATTTATTATTGTATCTAATCAATCATGGACAGCGAATTGCATTGACGTAGATGGCTCAGAAGGAGACAAGCGGAACCTCTTGTTCGGGAGGAATTCTTGCTGATGATCAGGTTTATTATTGTCTTATGTTGTAATCTTTCTCATGTCAATAGTTAATACAACATTCAGCTTAATTCTGCGGAAGTTTCATGGTTTAGAGTTGTTCTAGATGAGGCACAGAGCATTAAAAATCACAGAACCCAAGTTGCAAGAGCATGCTGGGGTCTTTGTGCTAAAAGGAGATGGTGTTTGTCTGGCACTCCAATCCAGAATTCAGTCGATGACCTCTACAGCTACTTTCGATTCCTCAAATATTTTCCTTATTCTTCCTACGTATTTTTCTGTAAAACAATTAAGAACCCTATAAATACAGATCCAGTGAGAGGATATCAAAATCTGCAGGTTATCCTTAGAACAATGATGCTTCGCCGAACTAAAGGTCAGTCTACTGATATTGAAGCTAAATTGCTTTCAATGTTCATTTTTTTTTCTGTTATGATTTTAACTGGTTAACACATTAGGTTCACTTCTTGACGGGAAGCCCATAATCTCTTTACCTCCTAAGTACATTGAGTTGAGAAAAGTAGATTTCACTGAGGAGGAACGTGATTTCTACTCCAACTTAGAGCTCGCATCTAGTGATCAATTCAGAGCATGGCCGTGAATGGACTACATTTTCCTCAGTTTATATCATTTAACAATTAACTGTATTGATGTGGTAGTTATGCACTTGGCAATGTATCGATGTTAAATGTTTTTGTATTATTGTATCAGGAGTATGCAGAAGCTGGAACAGTGAAGCAAAATTATGTAAATATTTTGTTGATGCTCTTGCGTCTTCGCCAAGCTTGTGATCACCCTCTTCTCGTTACTGGTGAATACAGTTCTACCTGAGAATCCTCGCTTGAATTAGCTAAGAAGCAGAACTACTCAGAAGCTACACTAGCAGCTTGTGGTATCTGCAATGTAAGTCCTCAAACATTGTCAATGAAAATCAAATGTGGAACGAAAAAGCGTCAGGGAATGTTAATAATCATAATGTGATTGATATTAGTTTTCTTGAATGCAGGATGCACCTGAAGATGCTGTTGTATCAGTCTGTGGTCACGTTTTCTGTAAGCAGTGTTTTTATGAATGCCTTACAGGCGATAATAATAAGTGCCCTCTTGCAAACTGCAATGTCGGACTCAGTATCTCATCTTCTTCCAATACGAGATTGAATTAGATCATGTTGTCCCATATGAGTCATCTAAAAACAAGGCTGCTCTAGAGATCTTACAATCAATTGCAAGACCGCATAATTTGACAGATATGAATCAGACCTATCAATATAGAGAGGACTCCAGTGTTCTTGTAACTCCAGTTAAGAATGAGGATAGTAGCGGTGTTGGTCCAATCAAAGCAGTTGGAGAAAAAGCCAACGGACAAAGATGCTGGACCTACTTGAAGCTTGCCTTATACGTTCGCATATTCAGTACAGAAGGCTCGATGGAACAATGTCAGTTGCTGCTCGAGATAAAGCAGTGCAGGGTTTCAACACTCTCCCCGAGGTACATGGCCATTAGTGAAATCTTGAAGACTCGTCTGGCTCGCTGTTTTATATTTATTGACTTTTTTATTCTTACTTTAACTTGTTAGGTTTCTGTAATGATAATGTCTCTCAAGGCTGCTAGTGTCGGACTTATACGATGTAGGAAAGGAAGAGAAAGATGGTAGCCTCTGCATTTGGAGAAGATGAAAAGGGAAGCAGGCATTCTCACCTAACTGTTGAAGATTTGGCGGATGAACATGAGTGAGGTTCAAGCACTTTTTTGACCGATGCGCGTGGGTACATATGATAGGATTAGCTTTGGTTTTTGTGCAAAAGAAAGATTAGGAAAATATTTTGGGGTTTTGAGATTATGAAAGTAGAAAGCTGATCCGATTGATTATTATTCCATTTAAACTTTTTTGGTATATAGCAACGAATGGAAGAAGACGATAGGAGCCTTAATTTGCTTTTGATATTGTCACCGTAAGATCACAATTTGATTGGTCTGTCAAGGTATAGCTTTCTTTTTCATGATCTTCTGTTTCCTTATACATTGTTACAACTTACAAGTGGTTACACAAATTGTTCAATATTGTGGGTGTCATCCTGAGAATGAAACGGCTCGATGTTGTAGTTTCTTTTAATCAGAAGTTGGAAATATGCAGGATTCCAAATGATATATACACTGGCGATGATCAGAAAACCTGGTTTTTCAGCCTGATTTCGTCACGTTAAACGCACTGCTTCGAGGATTCTGTCACGAAGATAAGATTTCTGAAGCGGAAGCTTGATTTGATCTAATGGCTGGAACGACGGGATGGGACACCCATTGTCCTAACAGTCAATACACTGATTGCACGGTCTTTGCCACGTACGTGTGTTGGATTCTCGAAGCAGTAGCTCTGTTTGATCGGATTGTTGAAATGGGATATGCACCTGATGTAATAACATTCAACACAGTGATGAATGGTCTTGCCTAGAGGGTCGAATTCTAGAAGTAACCTAATCTTGTTGCTTCCTATGGTTGTAACAACATTGTTCTATGTTGTTCTTATGTTCTACTCGTGTCTCTTAGGTCTTAGCTTGTGTTCTTTTCGGATGTTTCAATGTTTATTTGTTATATTTTGTAACATGTAACAGGGTTTTGCAGATGTTTCAGGCTTCTGGGATGCTCGAGAAAACAAAAAAGCATGAATCCTTTAAAAGGCAATGGAATTGGAAGGTGAGTGTCTAGGGAACAATTAACGTGGTTAGATCCGATTTTTTTTTGTCTTGGCTCAAGTAACTTGATCGAATTTGTTTGGTTTTAATTTGGTACAAAATTTCTTAACAAAATTATGTCAAACCCATTCCAATGAATCCAACCAGAAACTCAACAACCCAACCCCAAAAGACCACCTCTACTTCCATACAAAATAAACTTCTATTGATAATTACCTTTGATTTCTATATTTTGGATCAGAATATTCACTCTTAAGTATTAACAAATTCGTGGATTTGAAATTTCGTCAAAGAAAATATTCTATCTATCGGCTTCGAGTCTCTCACTTTAATTTTCAAGACATAACATGTGAATACTGTACTATAGAACATATGAATAAAACATGTCAGATAAGAGAATCCGAGTTATGTCACATCTATGACTAGAAAATGCAAACACAAACAAAAGAATAATTTCTAGACCGGTCGAATCGATCTATGGATGAGAACTAAACCTTCATAGAGCATTTAAAAAATATTCTTTAGTACTTTATTAATTTTCCATACGCTCATATCATATTTTCCATGTAATATCACAAAACGTCGAATTGATATTTTCAGTTTACTTGACTCTACATTATCTATGATCAAATTATTCGTCATCTCAAATTCTCTGATTTACCAAAAGTGGGGTGGTCTAGTGGTAACACAAAAGGATTGGTTTTCTTGTGCTCTGATTTCAAACCCCCTAGTAAAGAGAGTTATTTTTTAAGTCGAAATATTCAAATACAGATTTCGGATATCGAAAAGATTATGAGTTAAAGGTTTAGAACTCCCATGATTTATAAAAAAAAAAAATCTCTCATGTTCTTCTCTTTGTAATATCCATATGAACATAATCGGTCACATTTGCATTAATAAACCTCTCTTGACTTGGCCTATCACATGGTCAAGTTAATAAACCAATTAATAAGTACATCCTAATCTTTATTTAAATATTGGACGTACCTTCTTACCACTATAAGTTGCATATGTCAAGGCAACAACTATAGTCCATATATATCTCGATTATAAATTAACAACGGTAATCAATATGTTTTCAACGCATGTGCATATACAATATATGAAAGATTTGTTTTCTAATTAAAATAGATGTTTGTACACATTCCAAGGTAACTACAAATTCCAAGATCTATGTGCCAATAAGACTATAACAAATGTACACATTTTTTAATGGTTCTAGTAGGTACATAATAGAGTCATGAGTCACGTAAACGTCCCCATCATTTGTTACAGATTCTATTTTCTCAATATTCAATTTGGTTAAACTAATAGAGAAACAATAAAGTATTAGCATTTAGCACTATAACCATTTGAAGATTATTAAACAGAAGAAAAGAAAGTTCTTGGTGAGAAAGTATTCACACCTTCTATATATAGACCATATATAACCTATATAAGTTACCATCTAGTGGCTACTCACCAACTCAAGGGTTCTACGGAAGGATTGTTGGACGGCATAAATTAAAGACAATAATATTATTATTCATGAAGTGTTTGAAAGGATTGTTGGACGGCATAAATTAAAGACAATAATATTATTATTCATGAAGTGTTTGAAAGGATTGTTGGACGGCATAAATTAAAGACAAGCATGTT